ATGTGAGAGTATGAAAAAACTGGAGACTTGGCAACTCTGACACCATTTAAGGGTATGTAAGCCGCGTTTTCACGATGGCAATTGGCGAGACAATTGTCATTGGACAATTGTTATCACGTGGTTTCGGATTGTCGGAGGCCAGTCCAGTTGAACGAGAAGATGTTTATACGGGGCCAACTATTGCTATGGCAGTAGACAGCTAAAACATGACATATGTTTGTGCGTCACAGTGTTGCCACATTTTTTTGTATAAAGTATAGGAGTTTTTAAAATAGAAAAATACTTTGACGAAATTGTATATAATGTTTTAAAAAACTTATACAGAAGTAAAATGCTTCACACTTGTATTTAGGTATATACTTAGATAAATGTGAAGTGTTTTACTTCTGTATAAGTTTTTTAAACGATGGTATACAGCCAACTACTGGGACTTTCCCATTAATTTTTATATAATGTTTTGTTATGAGAAGCCACAATTTTTGAATTCATATTAAAAAGCATTCATAAAATAGTATTTTTTTACTTTCAATATAGCTAAGTATTTAGTGTATTCTTATGTTTAACCTAATTTTTTTATTTTCATTTAACTTTATTATGTAGTTTTTAAAGTTTCTAAACTATTAATTTTTACCTTAAGCATAATTTTAATGGTTTTTATTATATAAGTATTTTAAATGTAAAATAATTTTATTTTATAATATTTATAGGTATAATTTTAAGGCTTTTAATTATATATGTATTTTTCACGTTTTTGTTTAATTATATATGTATTTTTAAATTTTCATTTCATATACAGTGTAGGAAAAATTTTATGGTCGGTATGGACCTTACGTGAGATGGAGTGAGAAACAGCTGTTTAGAAAGAGAGAGGTATATTAGGTCCGCCCTTTATATCGCCAAACAAGCATGCCTGGAAAGGGGAAGTTCAACGTTGCCAAACTTATTGGATTTATTTGACCTGTTGTTTTTTTGCATTTGAACAATGTTCTAAGATAATCCAATTTGGGCGAAATTGATTTAAATGGCAGCTTACTGTTTTTTTTATTGGGAATATGCCACAAGTTTACTTTACAATAAGTGTAATATAACATTTTGATTTCCACTTTGGAAATCGTTTTATATAAATAAAATTTATTAATGTTTCGTATTTTAAGTACGATTTCCGAATTAAAAATATAAACATCAAAATAAGCTTATTTTAAAGTCACATTGTGCCTTATTCCCAATATGAAATAATAAACTGCATACAATAACACCACATTAAAAAATATTCATACACAATAATTTATTTGGCAACGTCGTCCGTCTGGTCAGAAGACCGAGTAACGGGTAGTAGAGGTGGGTCGTGGTAATTTTATCGTTAACAGCGTAGGCAAATTTCGGATTAATATTTTTTAAATGCATTCATTTTTTTCGAATCCTGATAAAACTAATAAATATTCTTGAAAAATTTAAACGCAGAATGAACCAATACATTATTACCGAGGGCCAAAAGTCCCTGAAAACTTCTATAATATTTATTTTAATAAGTTATAAGGGCGAAAAAAAAAATTAGTGTGATTTTTAATTTCAAATATCTCATTCAAAAAACTTTTTGTTTATTCTAAGGGACTTTCGGCCCTCGGTAATAATGTAATATTTTATTCTGCATTTAAATTTTTCAAAAATATTTGTTAGTTTTCTCAGGATTCCAAAAAAAATTAATGAATTTAAAAATTTAAATTTTTGTAAACAAGTAACTATGATTGTTTAAAAGTAGTTTCAAGTAAGAGAGTACCTACATAAACAAACATAATGGCTATTATCGTTTATGTGTATATTTATTGAAGTGAAAGAAACTAATGATATATTTATTATAACTTGAAAAATAAACTAAACAATACAAATAGTAAATCGTACTTACATTTACATTACACGTTATTATTAAATCGCGAATAGTCTAAATTGACATTAAAAACATAAGTTTTTCTACTATACCTACTTCTTATTAACCTTCTTCTTTTTTTATTTCAAATTAAACCAGATTTTGAACATGTGTTCACATTTACAATACTGTATGAATATAGGGGTTAGGTTAGGATATACATGGTGATGGTTTTTCCACCGTTGTAATGGACTCTCGATACAGGTGTACGTGTAGATGAGCCATCTCCAATTAATTGATCAAAAATACACCATGGATTTAAGTCATCTTTATTGGTTTCTTTTTCTTGTACTGGTTGATTTTCAATAGTACAATCTTCTTGTTCGTTAATTATAGAAGTAACCAGCTTCTTAACTTTTTCTTTTATTTTTTTATCTTCATTTTTATCAGAAAAACCCTGCACTTTAAATGGTGAATCCATAAATGTACATAATGACAATATGCCACTCTGTTCTATCCCTTTAAATATTTTTGCTAAACCCGATATTAGTAATTGTACTACGTCGGATACTATGGATGTAAGGTTACCGTTTGCTAAAATTTTCTTGCAAGATTCTTGCAGGCCGCGTACCATAACAATCACTGAACTACCCTTTAAGTATTTTTGGTCACTCATTGTACTTGTTATTTCTTTAAACGGCCGTAAAATTTGGGAAAGCTGAGAACAAATAATCCAGTGTTTTTTATTTAGATTTGGTCTAAGTCTAAGTCTGTATTATTTAATACCGATGTGGAACGGAAATACACGCCAGTACACCGAAAATATCAAAATACAGAGAGGAGTCCGCCAGGGTTGCGTGCTGTCCCCACTACTTTTCAATGTCTACAGTGATCGGTATTTTAAGAAGCGCTCTCAGACTCAATAGAAGGTATATCTATCAATGGAGAAGTTTTGAATAACTTACGTTTTGCAGACGATACAGTAATAATTACGGATAACAACAATGATTTACAGAACCTAATGCAACGCCTTAATGAACGCTGTCATGAGTACGGACTGAAGATAAATTTAAAGAAAACTAAATGCATGATCATGACTAAATCTGCACAAATATCCAATTGACTATTGAAGATACTGCAATTAAGAGTGTTAATAACTATAAATACTTAGGAACATGGATAACATCAGATGTAGACCAAACCAAAGAAATTAAGACACGTATTGAAATAGCACGTCATTTATTAAACTTAAAATATTTAGCATAGCATCATTTATTAAACTTAAAAAGTTTCTTTTTAATAACGTGTAATGTAAATGTAAGTACGATTTAATATAAATGTAAGTACCATTTGTATTGTTTAATTTATTTTTCAAGTTATAATAAATATATCCTTCGTTAGGTTCTTTCACTTCAATACTTATACACATAAACGATAATAGCCAATATGTTTGTGTACTCGCTAATTTGAATCAACTAGTTACAGTTTACGAAAAACGGTTCCGATACAAATTTAAAAAACGGGAGGACCCACCTCTAGTTTTTTAGGTATATTGAGATCGGAACCAGAGAATATGTCAAATATCTCTGATCGGAACTATTCGTCTCACTAATGGCCAATAGGTGTTAAAAATATTTGAGGAGGGGAGACCAAGGGGAAATATGATTGTTATCTTTGTCTATTCGCTGAAAATATGATTTTATATCTGCGTTAGATATCCTGTTAAATTTTACCATACCGACCATAAAATTTTTCCTACACTGTATATATAAATCTTGCCCATAATTTTATATATGAGAGTGTGAAATAATTGAGTATATGTCAACACTGACGTATATTAAGCTTACATTTAACGTCAAACATATCTATAGGTTATGTTCATTGTACGAAAATTAAATTTAACACAAATTACTACTGGCAGCACTACTGGCCTACACCGTTCACACGGCACCAATTGTCGCGACAATTGAGATCTCGAGTGGTAGAGGGGCTAACTGGGCGCAGCTCATTGTCCTCAGTCTACTCCTGGAGACAACTGAATTTTGGGCCAATTGTGAGGCCGAATTTCATCCGAAATTTTTAACTACGCTTCGGACATCGGATAAAGATAAAATTATTTTAACTTTTTCCGACAAAACGGACGTTTTGTAAGCTAATTGTATTCCAATAGTTTAACATCTGTACATTTAGTTTATTGAAACATGAATTTTAATCGAAGAAGCTATGTTCGTAAAGTTAATAAAATGCTATTATTATGTCTGCTTCTTTTAATTCGCAAAAAAAAACAAAACGTAGAATTCGACAAAGAAAATATTGGGTTAGTTAAATATTTCAGTAAAAAAAGTCACAAGGGGCTTTTAATAATCTATTGCACTCTTGCGGAAAATGAAGCTAAATGATGTTGATAAATATTTGCAATTACCTTAGAATGCGTAATTACACATTTCATTTACATAGTTTCTTCTACGTTATCCATAATAAACTAAGTAATTGAAAGCAGGAGAAGGGATTATACACCATGCGGAAATAATCCCTTCTGCTGTTTTACTACGCAAAAGTGGTAAAATAGCAATTACCAGCCAAACCACCAAACATCCAAAGAATAAACAAAAAATTGACAGTTAACAGTTTATACGGATTTTCGTATCCGACAATCGCATACATGTGAGGTTCGAAATAGCAACTGCGAAACCATACGATTTTCGTATGTCGGATATCGGAAATCGGATACATGAGCATGAGACTTCACCTAAGGTCGATTCAGACACATCAGTCCCGTCATAGTCTCGGCGCCGAGCCGGTCCTATTTGGTCACAGAACTATCAACTATCTGACAGCTGGGAAACTGTTTGTCAACTGATGAGTGTGAATGCCGGCAACATAAAGAATATTTTGTATGACGGATTGTTCGGTTCGGAGCAATCACTGTGACGAGACGTGACTGATGTGTCTGAATCGACCTTTAAAGTGATGTTAAATGTCATATAAAAAAAGCTTGGTTAGGTTAGAGTGCCCGTTTATGCGATGCGTAATGCCCCATTTTATTTTTATTCTGTGTAGGCGTTATACAAACATTTTGTAGGCATCATACAAACACAAGGATAAGATAAACAAATCTCTGAAACACAAATATAAAATGTTTAATCAAACGGAAGTAAAACAAGAAGTTGGTGAGACGACGTGTAAAAGAGAAATAGATAATGAGGTGGGTGATATTCTACTGGATACCTTTAAAATGGAAATTAAAGAGGAACCTATCAGTGAAAGTACAAATAATGATACATTTGATTATTTAGACGTAAAGAAATGTCCAATAAAATCTAAAATAGAACAAGATGATGGTAAGTAAATACACAGCAATTATGTACATTAAACTGCTCCTCTCATCTTGCTAACTAATACAACTATTTCCTTTGAATCCTCTAATACTAGGTATTCCGACAAATGTTAAGTTAAAGTTGGTTAAAGGTTAAAAAAGTAATGCGTATTTTGGATGATGTTTTTATCTGAACATTAAGTATATCTTATATCAAATATTGTTAGAAAAAGTATGACAAAATGTCTAATACAGCAATTGACTAACGTTCATTGTAAGTAGCTGAGTTGTGCCAAAGGTAGGCAAATTACAGTGGTAGTGTGCAGTATCCTAGGATTTTCAATATACCTACTCATAAGCTAACATAAAATTAAATCATACTTTGGAATTATCTTCTTCAATATTTCTATTACTTCCAGTACTTATTCTATTCTAATTTAAATGTCATGGTCCACAATTCTATTCGCTATTGAAAAAATTGCTAAACAATGAATTTGGAAAACACATAATACCCAAATATGAAAAGAGCATTTGCTATAGTTTAACTTTTCATATTGTCACTGGTGATGCTATATTTGGGTACAATTACTTTTCTGAAATAATTTTTCAAATATAAGAGAAAATTAAGTATATTAACTTTCAGTTATAAAACAATATGTGTTATAATGTTTTGCAACCATGACTTTGTATGTTTATTTAGTGCCATATATAACCACACACCTATCTAGAAAGAGTTAACAAATTGTTAAACAAAGGAACTTTGTGATATTTTCTATAAAAAAGAAGCTGTAAGGCAAGCAGCAGACTAATAATGTAAAACCATGTAATATTAAAAAATGACACTATTAACCTGTATAAGAAAAGGGAGCTAACTGGAAGGATTATTATTACTTAAGGAATAATTTAAATATGGTAATAAAAACATGTTACTCAAGCTTCTACCAAGATTAATTATGTGCCTGGAAGTGCTTCAGGATGCAGGGTATAAAATCATAAGAAACCAGATAGACTATATTATGATAGGAAGAAAATATAGAAGTTCTATCAAATAGTTGTTGATGAATTCAGGTTAAATCTAAAACAATCTAAACAGAGCCAAAATAGACACAACATTGATCTGTTTATAAAATAAACAGGGAAACATAATTTAACATTGAAACAAGGATAAATCAAGAACTACAGCAAGCTAAAACTGATAACAGAAAAGCAAACATCCAGTGGAAGAATTTAAAAAGACACTTAGAAAATGGAAAGAATATATAGAAGGCCACTCTCAAGATGAAAGACTAAGTCTAACAATATCAGAAAAACCAGACAATTGTCCAATGATAATAAATGAAGACTTTCTATATGTGCTCAAGAATATGAAAAACAGCAAGTCTACTTGGTCCAGATGAGATTCCAGTTGAACTATTCAAGTTCTTAAAACAAAAACAATGCTTAAAAATGTAAAGATCACAGAATAATAAGTTTAATGAGCCACATTGAAGATATTTTTAAAAAAATGTCATGTGGCACTTGGGAAGTGCTGACAAAAGTGAATACTTATAGCACATTATTACTATATGTGGGTTAATTATAAGATTTTATGTTTTATACGCTTATTACTAAATTGTTAATATTTTTTATAATAACTCAACCATTTAAGGTCTTTAAAAAATTTAATTTTATTTACTCATTTTGGTAATTTTAAAAATTTCTTAAGTAAATACAATATAGAATTTATTCATCATTTACACTTTCATTATTATGTTGTATTTATGTTTAATTACTTCATGTTGATTATCGGGTTATATAGTCATGTTACTATTAGTGTGTCATCAGCGTATCATATATTGTTAATTAATTCTCTGTTAATGTTCATACTGACATATTGTTTTGCTGTATATATATATATATATATATATATATATATATATATATATATATATATATATATATATATATATATTGAATAATAGTGGAGAAAGCACACAACCCTGACGCACACCTCGACGAATCTCAATTTCTTCTGTTAACTCATTATCAACTTTGATTTTTGCTGTTTGTCCCCAGTACAACCTAGATATGATGTTAATGTCGCGACTGTCAATGTTTTTGCTTCTTAGGATTTCAGATAGCTTTTGGTATCTGACTTTATTGAAGGCCTTCTCAAAATCTATGAAACCTACTAGAGGTCTTGGTTTACATCCAAACATCTTTGCATTAACACACTTAGACCAAACAAAGCTTCCCTTGTTCCCAGTCCACCTCTGAATCCAAACTGTGTGGCGCTTATCTCCTCTTCTAATTTATTAAATATTCTTTTGTGAATTATTTTTAAAAATACTTTGAGTGTGGGGCTCATCAATGCTATAGTTCTGTGACCTGAACACTCTCTGTCGTTATTCATCTTCGGGATTGTGACAAAAGTAGAGGAGAGCCATTTCTTTGGTATGATGCCTGTTCCATAAATTGTGTTAAAGAGGTTCACCATTTTTTCAAGTGCGTCGTCGTCTAGCGATCGGAAAATATGTTAGTCAAAATAAAATACGTACACCATTTCGTGGCTGCATTCCTGGAGATGATTTTTTCAATCGGTTCAAAAAAGCTTATAAACTTTCCTTGAAACAGCGCAACCTACGCTGCAACAAAAAATGGCTGGATAGAGCTAGAGATCTTTAGTAATTATTTTGAAAAAGTTTTTTAAAATGTATTGGAGATAAACAACCTACGTTATTGATTTATGATGGACATACTTCACATATCAATCTTCAACTTGTTCAAAAAGCAGATGAACAAAATGTTATTATTCTAAAGCTTCCGCCACATTCAACACATGTTTTACAGCCTTTGGATCTTTGCGTATTTAGATAGTTAAAACAAAGATGGGATCAACAGCTCGTGAAGTGGCAAAGGCAAAATTATGGAAAAAAACTTCCAAAACGTGTTTTTTCTGCTATATGTAAGATATGGACTGAAACCGAACCCACTATCATAATAAATGGCTTTAAAAAAGCTGCGTTCACAAATTGTTGAAAATTATTCAATAAAATTAATATTAATATTAATAATGTTTTAATACTAATATATTTAGCAAAAAACAATTAAAACTTTCACAGCTAATGTTGGTTATTATATTATATTAATAAAAATAAAAATTTAACCATTACAAATTTTGTAAATAAGAATACCTTATCTCTTTGGATATTTCAATACTAATCTTCGCGTTTAATCACTTTACTCGAAAACCTGGAATTCATATCCGAAGGTACTATTCGTTACAAGATAATTAGGATGGAATTCCACAGATTTTTAATAATATAATGGGTATAAAGATGCCGGCTTTGGTCATGTGCCTCGTCTGTTCAGTTTATATTCGAAACTTAACATGAAAGGGTGAAGTTATTACGAACGAAAACAATTTTTTTGTTTAGTACGTTTTTGATCGCGTGTAATTTACAGCTAATCGGTATTTTCGCGTCTACGGCAGTAATTAGCGTCTCGAATATTTCTTTTGCGAATTATATGCAGTGCGTGAGTGATTTTTTATTCCATATACCTACGAACATATAAGTACCTTTCGCTCGTGCTCCTTTTGTTGGATTGTTAGTGATGGCTTCATTATCAACATAATCAAGTATTACACCCGTACTGTTGCGTACAGTCAGTAAGTCTGTCTATTCACCAAGAGAGAAGACTATTGTCCTGAATGTCCACGATGCTCTGGTTTCTCAGAATCCCACAAACACTGTTCACAACATAGTCGAAAGTTGTGTCAACATGACTGGCGTAAGGGAGTCAACTATATACAGGGTGGTCCTTAAGTAATTGTACAAAAAGAAACCGTAGATTCTACGCTTTAAAATATTACGATTTAAGTCAAGTTGCTTTAATAAAATATTGATATTTAGAAAGATACAGGGTGTTAACACGTTGAGAGCGTTAGCAAATTTAGCCCTTTTAATTTTTATGCATTACATGCACTGTGGTACTTGTATATAATCTACTTTTGTGTGCGATACAAGCACCCGAGACCATGTATGCATCAATAGCTGTATTGCCATCTAGGAGGAAGTGACGTAAATAATTGAGCACTCCGGTTGATTTTCTGTAATAAGAAGGTAGTAAAGTATACTAGACTCGATTTGTACATATATCTGAGTATATGTAACGCATATAAATACAGGTTTAGTTATCAATATAAACATAAGGATATACAATGTTCTAATAAAATTAGCGTTTATTTTCTGTACCAATACATAAAATAATATTAACATTAATATAAGTAAAATAATAATAATTAACAATGAAAATTATTAAAACACGGTAAGCAAAATCCTGGGGTATTTGGACAATCTTGGCAGAATGAGGTTACTCTGCGAACTTTTCGGTCGGCTTCTCTACTAGATAGGGTAATCCGAAGTGTTTTGTAGCAACTGGTGCACACTTTTTTCTTTTTTCTACCAGGCCCTTCAGGTTTTACAAAAGTATGGATTCTCTTTCTGGGGACTTGCTCGATTATTCGTTCATTACATGATGCTGCTGAAGCTGAAGGTGCTGCTGAGGTTAATTCTTCTGCCAATTGTCTTCTAAAATCAGTAATACTTAATTTTGTAGTTGACAGATTATTAAATACAATCCAAGAGTTAACAACGGTGGTACCAAAAAGGAGTTCAAATGCAACTTTTCTGAAAAATAAAAAACAAATTGAACACACAACTAATAGTGATATAATGTGCATGTTTAACATTACCTGTACCATTTTAAGGTTCTTCGTAGTACAGAGTGGTAAGAACTCATTTGATCGCTGACATCCACCCCTTCTTGGCTTTATTGTATTCGAGGACACATGCTGGCTTCATAACACTTTCATTTTTGCGATTTTTTTTACCTAAAATAGATATAAATGAATATTTATTTACTGACAACAAATTGTAATTACAACTTACCAGTGTCTATCAGTGCAGCATCGTGTTCTGGAATGGTAGAAATCATTAAAACTGGTCTTTTGTCCATCCATTTGATGATTTTGGCTTTGCCTTTCTGCTTTC